TGGCGGCAATGATGGCGTTAAGGGTTGGATCAGCGAAGTGGCATGGAGGGATTTCTACAAGCACGTAATGGCCTGGTGGCCATTCGTCTGGTAAGCCTGAGACCTGCTTGGTTTCTCACCCGCGATCTGACTTCCTGCAGCATGTACAAACCATTCAAATTCGAAACCTCGGACATCAAGTGGGAGTTTGACCCAGCGCTCTGGGACAAGTGGGTGAATGGAACTACAGGTTTTCCCATCGTCGACGCAGCTATTCGGCAGATGCGTGAGATGGGCTGGATGCACAACCGCTGTCGCATGATCGTCGCTTCCTTCCTGACTAAAGACCTGCTCATCGACTGGAGACATGGTGAGCGCTACTTCATGGAGCACTTGATCGATGGCGATTTCGCAAGCAACAACGGAGGGTGGGGGTTTTCAGCTTCCACTGGCGTAGACCCTCAACCCTACTTCCGTATATTCAACCCGCTACTACAGAGCGAGAAATTTGATGCCGAAGGTGAGTATATCAGGAAGTGGGTGAAGGAGTTGAGTGGGATAAAGGGGAAGGCAATTCATGATCCGTATGGGAGAGGTGCGGCGAAGGAAGCAGAGCGGGCTGGATATCCTCAGCCGTGCGTGGTGCACAGCGAGAGGAGGGTTAAGGCGTTGGCGATGTACAAAGGGGAGTAAGGACAGATACTGCTGAGATATTGGTACCTTACCATATATCACTATATTCCGGCCTAAATTTGTCGTCTTGTGCACACAGGCACTGTTGGGCCTGCATCTACCGTCACCTTTGTATAGCACATGCTGCTGACTCATCGAGCTGGTAAGTCTTGGCACGAAACAGATTCAGATCCCTCGGATGCGATTGTCATCCACTTCTCTCCCACTCCTGCCACCTCTTATCGCTCCATCCAGTGTCGCCATCGTTGCCTTACCTCGCTTCAGTCGAGAGTGTTTGGTCAAACTTCACACGTATTACACCGCATTACGTTTGCGCCATCAAGATGACGAAGAACAAGCGCAAGGGAAGGCCTACGCTTCAGGAGGCGCTTGAAAGACCATGGTGCTACTACTGTGACCGTGAATTTGACGACATGAAGGTCCTGATTAACCATCAGAAGGCCAAGCACTTGAAGTGCCAAATGTGTCCTAGAAGGCTTGATACCGCAGGAGGTAAGTGTCCTCGTGCCAGGCAAATTTGACCTTGACTTTAACTAACGCGCTCAAGGGCTTGGGGTTCACATGCAGCAAGTCCACAAAGAGACGCTGACCAGAGTTGAGAATGCTCTGGAAGGTCGCGAAGACCCTAACGTGGAAATCTTCGGTATGGAAGGCATCCCTCCCCACATATTGGAAGTGCGCCATCAAGAAATCAGGGCGAGCTACAATGCGAACGGCGGAGGTAGTAACGAGAATGGCGGCAACAATCAGCCTGTGGCAAAGAAAATCAAGATCGAGACTCCGGAAGAGCTGAAGCAGCGTCTGGCTGAGCACAGAGCAAAGAAGGCTGCTGCTGCCGCGGGGAACGGAAGTGGAACGGCTTCACCTATGGTAAGTCTGCGTTTGCACGATAGTCCCAGGTTCATTCACTGACTCCCTTGCAGCCCAAACCCGAGTCGCCAAACAATGCTCAAGCTGAGTCTCAATTTCAAGCACCTGCTGCAGCTTCTCCTGCAAACGTCTTTAACCCGTTCACTCAGCCACCAGCCTCGAGTTCCCCTCCAACATCTTTTAACCAACCTTTCGGACAGCCTCATGCTCAACCGCATGGCCATCCGTATGGGCCTCCTCACGGCCAATACCCTCCGCCGCAATTTTCACCCCCTCCTGGCTACGGTATGCCCGGTCCGCCGATGCCACCACACGGCCTTGGTCATCCCGGATTTGGCTCTCCTCCTCCTGTTCCCTACCTGCCCCAGCAGTCACCTCAACAATATGGTGCCCCTTTCAATCACCGTCCAAATCAATGGCAGGGCCCGCCAAATGGCGCAGGATTTCCTCAAGGTCCGCCAGCCAATGGATATCCACATGGTGGACCACCTCCAAATGGGGTAGGATTTCCTCCTTATGGTGGACCACCTCCGCACCAAAACAACCAAGCAATGCCACACCGCCAGAACAGCCTTCCTGGCGCTTCGAGTCTTCCGAATGCTCCTGGTCTGCCACCTCGGCCCAATTTTGATGCACCGCCTGTTAGCCGCTCACAGCTCCATGAGCTTCACAGCGGCCACAAGATATCAGGCATTGGAAGCTCCCAAACTTCTGTTGGTGAGAGGGATCCAAAGACTGGCCCAGATGAGATTGACAGACTCATTGCAGAAGGAGAGGCCACAGCGGCGAGGAGAGATGCGGAGAAGGCAGAGAGAGACGTTCAAGCCAGGCAATTGGCGAATGGATCAAACACCACTAAGTGGACGAACCACATTGATGCCAAGGAGGCAAACAGCACTCCCTCTGACGCACAGCAGGTTCGACAGTCTGCAGACAATGTTGTCAGCAACGGACAAACGCCTGAAAGATCTAATGAAAAACCTGTCAGCAACGGAACGTCGACCCACAGCCCAGCACCCAATGGCCAACAAAAGGAAGTTAGTAAGTCTGCCGCTTCTGCGGAGAAGGTCAAGAAACCCGTGGTACTATTCGTTCGCGACAAGGATACCTCGCCTGAAGAGAAGATGGCTCAAATGAGTAGATACTCATTCACGACTCGTAAGTCGAGCACGATCATTGGACGCGCTTGAGCAGAAATTACTGCTCTTACTCCCGAAACGCCAACGCCGCTGGCGCATACTGAGCTAAGTGGCTTCATTATCATCAGTCACTAAAACAAGGTCTTCATGGTCTGTGCTCTCGTTCTACTTGCATCGAGTTTGAGAAAGACTCGGACTTTTATCTTTTGGCAGGGTGGCCTTTTGGCAGTGTGGTTAGCATAGTTCTTACAGTGCACAGAATGTATGGCAATTGGGACTGACGATGGATAACTGTGAGCACTAGGGTCGGATGCAGATGCCAGAGGTATACTCCGGCGGACCACTTTCGGATCACGAGGTACAGCGTGCGTCGTCGGCCGGACTGCGATATGGAACTCTGTTGGTAGCGACAGCATTGTTTCAACTATTATTTTGTAACAATAACGCTAAATGCACAATATTGATTGATATCCTTTGACATCTGACTGAATCATGATGGAGTACTTCATTTAGAATTGTAGCTCATTTTTGCCGATCTCTGAACATCCCACGGTGAGAACATCGCTCCCAGACGAAGTATTTGATCATGCTTACTGGGACCTCGTCTTTTCAATCACTGGCAAGTAAAGCAGTCTCCGCCACTCAGGCGAACTTCCACCCTTGTGAAGCCCAAAGCTTCACAGCGCCAAGCTTCGCGCAACCAAACATCCAGAAAATCAAGCACCCACCTTACACATTGCCTCCATTCGCGCATCTCTCCTCTAAACAAGATCTTACACCCTGAAACCAGGAAAAATGTCCGACCCAGCAGAAATGGACGTCGACGCCCCCTCACAACCAGCCCCCAGCGGCTCCGACCCACACACGACCTCCGGCGCCGTCGCCGTCCGCTCCATAGAAGGATGGATCATCCTCGCGACCAACATCCACGAAGAAGCCGCGGAAGAAGACCTGTACGACGTGTTCGGGGAATACGGGGAGGTGAAGAACCTGCATATGAACCTGGACCGACGGACGGGGTTCGTCAAGGGGTATGCGCTGGTTGAATATGCCACTATGGGAGAGGCGAAACGGGCGGTGGAGGAGGCGAATGGGGTGAAACTTATGGATCAGTCGCTGGGGGTGGACTGGGCTTTTGTGCGGCCGGGGAAGGAGGGTAGCGGAGGAGAGAAGGGAGGGAAGGGAAACAGAGGGGGAAAGGGGCGAGGGAGGAGTAGGAGTCCGGAGAAAAGAGAGAGGGAGGATGGGGAATGAAGACGGTGAGGATGAGTCGGGTGTAGCCTGGCTTGGGACACATATGCGAACGATCAGAAGGATCTGGGAGGTGAGGTTAATGCTTCGGAAAAGATAGGGCCGATCACTTGCTGCTGTGGCGGGTGGTCGGCGATGGATAACGAGATTGAAAAGGTATGTCGCTATGGATTCCTGGTCGTGGAGCTATGTGACGTCCTTGCTGACTTTGGCGCAGTCAAATCAAACTATACCAGAGACAGATCAAGCGCTGGGGCTGTTGCTTCTATTACCTGCGCATCATGTGCTGTGCTCTACAACACCTCGTGATCTGTCCTCTTCGCCGAATTGATTATGGATTGTCACTGCGGTTGTTGTTGTTGTTATTATTGGACGAATTGAGGCTTGCGATGATGCTGCTGGTTCCCAATGTTGCGCGCACATGCTAGGGGCGAATTGGATATGGACGAGCGGCATAACATGCAACCAACCTGGTACAAGAAGTATGGATTGTTAGCCAACATCTAAGACAGCCTGACTTTTTACAAGAGTCAAAGTGCGTCCAGAACCCAGATCTGCTTATGCAGATGGAACCTGTCGAAAACCTATCAACCCATACCCGGTGAACTTGCCACTTCGGTACGGTGGAGACATAGTATGTGCTAGGACAAGGACATCACGAAGTCGCTGCTTCGAGGCGATTGTGGACAATACCGCCCATCTTGGCACCATCAATCTCATATACGCGACCAATATCCGATTGCCGTTCTTCTCAAGTTCGTAGTAGTGGCTTGTCTTTCACAATTCGCAGTTGCTACTTTCTTGGGCGTCACCGCACAAATGGATGTGAAAAGTAGCACACGAGCACTATGCAATAGGAATCATGATTTTTGCTAAGGACATAATCCGAGAATTTTGTGGGAGGATCTTGGAAATGCGGATTGGCAAATTTTCTTGCGGATTCGCGCTGTACGATCATCATTTACGCACAAATCATGGAAGAATCGCATCGACGAATTTGATATGGAGTGGTGTAGATTGATGTAGACTATATTAATTCGTTGAGGTCTGAGCCCCCCATGAATCACAGGGAGGATGGCCGAGTGGTTATGGCGCTAGTTTCAGGCTTGGTTCAAAGCTATCGCTGAAGATCATCAAATTACTAGTTTCTTTGATTCGTGGGTTCGAGTCCCACTCCTCTCATCATTCTTTTTGATTTTTGTCGAGCATCAAGTGGCTGGTCCATATCTTTTGCTAAGTGTATTGTGCTCTGGACTGGCAACTGTGCGGCTATTGCTTGATTTTGCGATACACGAGGGTATTCTTCTCTCATGACCGGGTAAAGTGCAAATTGCATCAGAACGCACGTGGATACGCCCCGAAGTTCTAGTAGTCGGAATAATGGATACCGAATTCTGATATCTTGCAACAAACTCTTCAAAATTGGCGTTGAAGCCTTTTTGACCAATTTTGCGACATAATATATACGAACAAGTATAAGGCGAATAGTGTGAGGCGTGTGACCGGTCATGGCAGACCAAGTCCTTGGTACATGTATGTCAACGGTACCGCGATGGACAATCGACGAGAGCCAGTTGATGCTGTGTTACCTGATTAACCGAGTCCTGTTCTGTTGGGGCGCAGGGGCCAATAAGCAGTATATGGGCTCATGACACCTCGTCAGCCTAGAGTGGAGAAATTGTGTTTGATATATAACCATTGATGACCCATGTAAAGAGTTAAATCCATGCTTCGCTTATACGCGGACACGGACTGCTCAACGCCACATATGGTACCCCGCATGGCCTCCTAGCTCTTGTGTAACACTTCTTCCCAAATCTGGTTTATGCATGGGTTTATGCATGCGACACAAGCGACAAGGATGCCTCCATCAACAGAGCAGACGCCACTCATTCAAGTGGTGCAGGTCGCGCCTCCACGGGAGCGGTACTCAAACCACACCGTATGTCCTGGCAGTCCTCCGCAACCATTCCGTCGTGAGCTGACAACTCGCACAGCTTCGCCGCTTCTGTACCATCGCGCTAGTCACCATCCTACTGTTGAGCGCTGTGGTCATTGCTCTTTCCACAGCGCTTGCTAGCGGATCAGACCTCTTTGGCGACAAGCCCACAGATCTATCCTTTTGGCGGTCATGGCCATGGTGGCGCGCATCACACCCTTCGCTTCCCCACGTGGGCTGGCCCAAGTCAGAAGGGGTGTCCCTTTCAGACTTGAGACAGATTATGCTGGAAACACCTGACCCAGAGACCGCGCGCAAATGGAGCAACTACTACGCTGCAGGTCCACATCTAGCAGGCAAGAACAAATCCCAAGCAGTGTGGACGAGAGATCTTTGGCAGTCATTCGGCGTCGACAGCGAGATCGTTCCGTACGAATGCTACCTCAACTACCCCAAGGGGCACGGTCTGTCGCTGTTGAGAGATGGCAAGGTCAAATACAGAGCTTCACTGGAGGAGGACGTGCTCGCAGAGGACCCTACCACTAGCCTACCCAATCGGGTTCCTACATTCCATGGGTACTCAGCAAGCGGAAACGTCACTGCACAATACGTATACGCCAACTACGGCTCATACGAGGATTACGAGACTCTAGTCAAGGCGGGCATTGATCTCAAGGGCAAGATCGCACTGGTCAAATATGGCGTGATGTTCAGAGGTTTAAAGGTCAAACGCGCTCAAGAGCTTGGAATGGTGGGGTGCATCATATATTCGGATCCTGGCGATGACGGAGACATCACAGAGTTGAATGGATATAAGGCCTACCCGGATGGTCCCGCTCGACAACCGAGTAGTGTCCAGCGAGGAAGCGTACAATTCCTGAGTGAGCATCTACACCAATCCTTGCGCAAGGTCATGTCTGACACATTACAGGTTTCGCTCCTGGTGATCCTACCACTATTGGATATCCTTCGAAGCCCGGAGTTCCACGCGGCGATGTGAATATCAGCACTCCACAGATTCCGTCAATTCCCATATCATACGCGGATGCACTTCCGATTTTGAAGGCGCTGAACGGACACGGACCCAATGCGAGCTCTTTTGGTGACCACTGGAGTGGCGGTGGATTGGGCTACAAGGGAGTAGACTACAACATCGGCCCGTCCCCTGCGAGCGTAAAGTTGCACCTCTACAATGAACAGGAATATACTATCACGCCACTTTGGAACACAATCGGCATCATCAACGGTACGCATCAAGACGAAGTGCTTGTTATTGGTAATCACCGCGATGCTTGGATCGCCGGTGGAGCTGCGGATCCGAACTCTGGTTCGGCAGCGTTGGACGAGATCATTCGTTCGTTCGGAGTGGCTTTGGCAAAGGGGTGGAAGCCTCAGCGGACCATTGTCTTTGCATCGTGGGATGGTGAGGAATATGGACTGGTTGGCAGCACCGAATGGGTTGAGGAGTACATCCCCTGGCTCTCCACATCAGCCTTTGCATATCTCAATGTCGACGTCGCCGCCAAAGGACCACATTTTTCCGCCGCGGGTGCTCCGCTGCTCGACAAGGCGTTGTATCAGGCAACCAAGAGCGTGCAGTCGCCCAATCAGACGGTAAAAGGCTCTTCGATATACGACGTGTGGCATAAGCGGATCAGGACTATGGGTTCTGGATCTGACTTTACCGCGTTTCAAGACTTTGCTGGCATCCCATCTATCGATGTGGGCTTTGGGTCTTCGCTGAAGGATCCTGTGTACCACTATCACAGCAACTATGACAGCCAAGCTTGGATGGACAAATACGGCGACCCTACTTTCGAGTACCATATTGCCATCGCTCAGCTGTTAGGATTACTGAGCGTGGAGCTGCTCGAGAGCCCTGTGTTGCAATTCAACGCAAGCGACTACAGTGTGGCGCTGGAGAAGTATATCGATAGCGTTGGCAAGGTGCTGAACGAGTCCTCGTCAGACGACATCGGCAAGTGGAACATTGACCACTCTTTGAAACCGTTGCGACAAGCCATCAAGGTATTTCAGGATACTAGCCGCGATTTTGACGCCGAGGCGGAGTGGCTCGCAGGAGCTTTGACGACTGCAGACGCGGGTCAAGTTGACAAACTGTACCACCGTACGCGATTGATCAATAAGAGGTACAAACAGCTCGAGCGTGCTTTCTTGTACGATAAAGGCCTCGATGGAAGGAGCTGGTTCAAGCACGTTGTGTTCGCACCGGGTCTGTGGACTGGTTACGCGGGCGCGACTTGGCCGGGTCTTGTCGAGAGCGTGCAGAATGGCGATCGCAAGGCTTTTGAGAGATGGGTGCATATTGGCACCAATGCTGTACGAAACGCGGTCCGGACATTGGAGTAGGAGTGTTTCGGCAATTGAAGTTGCATGTACATAGGTATTGCCTAAAGGATGTTTGGTCAAAACACATCTCATGCTGCCCAGCGTGATTGGATACACTCAATTCACAATGGACATATATATCGGTAACCCGGTTAAGGCACTTCCATCTGCTGTAATGATCGACGTTTGATTGGACGACCGCATTGACATCGGGTATCGTGATGGCGGGGCAGATGGATTTTCCCCGACTACCCCTCATCCCGGTATGCGGGCGGGCTGCATTTTCCGATGCCGGCTATATTTTATTCGAGATGGCCAACGTTTGTCTTTTTACGTTCAGAGAGACTCATAAGTAGGCTCAGATACGGATTGGACACGAAAACCACTTTGACCGCTCAGCAACCATCATGGAGCCATCAAATCTGCAGAAACAAAACGAGCCAGAGGAGCCGCGTTTCCTGGACTTCAAGCACATTGAATATGGAGCAAAGCACAAAGACGGCAGTCCGGTTCTAAACAGATACTCCTCGACTCTGACAAAGGGCCATGACTACCCCGGCGCACAAGCCATGCTGTACGCAGCCGGGGTTCCCGACGAAAAAGCCATGAAGAACAGCCCTCACGTCGGCATCGCCAGCGTCTGGTGGGAAGGCAACCCGTGCAACATGCACCTCCTCGACCTGGGCAAGACGGTCAAATCCGCTCTGCAAAGACAAGGCATGCTGGCGTGGCAATACTCCACCGTCGGGGTATCGGACGGCACCACCATGGGCGGCGAAGGCATGCGCTTCTCCCTGCAGACGCGGGAACTGATCGCCGACAACATCGAGACCCTGACCTGCGCCCAGCACCACGACGCCTGCATCACCATCCCCGGGTGCGACAAGAACATGCCCGGGTGCGTCATGGCCCTGGCCCGCCACAACCGGCCGGGCCTCGTGATCTACGGCGGATCGATAATGCCAGGGTACAGCCGGGCGCTCAAGAAGCCGATCAACATCACGTCGTGCTTCGAAGCCCACGGCGCGTATAATTACGACACGCTGGTCAACCCGGACGATCCGGCTATGACGAAGGATGAGATCCTCTCGGACTTTGAAAGACATGCGTGTCCTGGCGCCGGGGCGTGTGCGGGTATGTTCACGGCCAATACCATGGCGACGGCGATTGAGACGCTCGGGTTGAGTCTGCCGAACAGCTCGTCGACGCCGGCGGAGAATCCGGCGAAGATGAGGGAGTGTGTCAAGGCGGCGGATGCGATTAGGGTCTGCATGGAGAGGAATATCCGCCCGAGGGATTTGTTGACGAAAAGGAGTTTTGAGAATGCGTTGGTGATGATGATGGCGTTGGGGGGCTCGACGAACGGCGTGTTGCATTTATTGGCCATGGCGGGCACGGCGGGGGTGGAGTTGAGTTTGGATGACTTCCAGCGGGTCAGTAACAGGATCCCGTTCATTGCGGATATGGCGCCGAGTGGGAAGTATTTGATGGCGGATCTGTATGACATCGGGGGCATTCCTGCTGTGCACAAGTTGCTCATAGCAGCGGGATTGCTGGACGGGACTATCCCTACTGTGACGGGGAAGACGCTGGCGGAGAATGTCGAGGGATTTCCGAGTTTGCCACAGGATCAGGTCATTATTCGCCCGATGGACAACCCCATCAAGAAGACGGGGCATATCGAGATTCTTAGGGGAAATCTGGCGCCGGGTGGGGCGGTGGCGAAAATCACAGGTAAAGAGGGGACGCGGTTCACGGGCAAGGCGATGGTGTTCGATAAGGAGCACCAGCTTGACGCCGCGCTGAACGCTGGTCAAATCCCCAGAGGAGAGAATTTGGTGCTGGTGGTGCGGTATGAGGGACCGAAAGGCGGACCGGGCATGCCGGAGCAGCT